GTACTTCCTGTGTCATGGCCACAGTTGAAAGCCACATGTAACAAGGACACACAGGTAATCTGCACAGTACGGAGGAAAGGCATAATTTTCTGACCGCACAATACTATAACCGTTCAACTGCTGTTCCTATCATCTGCTGTAATCCTGATGTAAAGAATAAACACCTCTTTTGAATGAATCGGTATTGACGAGTTCAGCTATCTGACGAGGATTGTCCGCAGTGAGTATATCTGCTTATACAGGCCAGGCATAGAGGTCTCAGCAAAGGATATATTTCGCTATCACAACGATCGGAGTCAGAATAATAAGGCCGGCCGTACGCCTCGCAAATGACAGCTGGTCTTGCAAATGGGGACGCTGATCTGTCATTAAACAACTGGGCAGAGTTGGCCGTGACGTCACACCCGGCTCCACCCAGTTATTATTCATTGGCCGGGACCTGCTAGAAGACTCTAGCAGGTGTAGGCCAATAGGAAACATTTGGGCGGAGCTAGCTGTCACTGCTAATTCCGCCCATTTAAAAAAAAAAAATATTTAAATTTTTAAACTTTTTTCACTATTTGCTTTTCTGCTTGGTACCACAGAGGTACCGAGCAGAATAGCCGAGCAGAATGCCGCTAGGCGGCATTTGGCTATTCACTCACTGCCGTTCGGCCCCTATGTGAATAGAGGCGAACGGCCGCGAGTGAGCTGCCGCAGCTCCGGCCGATCCAGATGTTGGATCGGCTGAGTCAAAGTCCTTCTGCACTTCAGCTCAGCCGAATATGCAAACAAATCAGCCGTAGTGAATAGTCGGCTCACTTCACTACGGCAGCTTTATAAATAACCCTTTTAATATTTCTCTCAGCAAGATCCATTATAAAAGATCAGAAAGAAAAGGGAAAAAAAATGGATGGATAGCACAGAAAAAGTAAGGTAGCTTGACACAATGAAACTAAATATTACCTACTGAAATCCACTCTTAACTAGCCTGAGTAAGCACCAACAGACTATTGTCTACAAGATGTGTGTGTAGCTGCACAGTAAGTGCTAAAGAGAACCAGGCATCATGTCACAGGCATTAGCACTGGTAATACACGTATTGTAGATGCAATTGCCAGGTGTGAAAACACAGATTTCACTGCAAGTTATTATGAGTTCATATATTACCTTCACAGTTGTGGTTTTCTTCAGAGTGTGCATCTTCAGAGTGTGTATTGTGGTCTGGAGATTTATTGATGGGAAAATCTGCGTCTTCAGCCGAAGGTAAACTGCTCTGCAGGTTAACACATTCATCATTGTGATCCTGATCTGAAATAGACTGGTCCTTTATGAGCTCAAGAAAATGGTCTTCTGTCTCTTTCACACTCCAGAGGGAGCTGTACACAAGCCTTAAAAAAAAAAAAAAAAAAAAAAAAAAAAAA